ACTCAGTAGTGTGTCTTTCTGAGGGATAAATTGAAATAAAAGAAAAGCTGGAAGTTCGTAAGACGTGTTTAAACTTTGAAGGCTCTTCAGCATGTATTTCTAATTTCTGATATTGGATAAAACTGTTTTCATTATTACTGTTACCAGAGTAGACCTTGGAGTTGATTAATATGTTGTTTTAATGTTGATATTGGATAAAACTGTTTTCATTGTTATTATCATCAGACTAGATCTTGCAGTTGGTTTGTATGTTGTTCTGATGTTGTTTTAATGTTGATTAAAGTTGTACCTTAAGATGTCTTCAAAGGAAAGTGACTTAGCTATACATGTATGATGTATCTTAGAAAGAACAGTGGATTTGATTTTTGATTGTTCTTCCCTGAAAGGTAAGCAACATTTCCCAGAGTTACCGGACATGAAAGCAGAGTTGAAGTAAAAATTTTGAATCTGAATTTGACTGTTACTAGTAAGTTGTTTCTAATCAGTAATAACTGAAACCTGGTGACATTTAACCATACCTGGATGGAGACATTGATGTAGAAGATTGGATCATTTAAAGCAAAAAGAGGCAGTGCATCTGCCAGCATGTGGCAGCCAGCTGCCTGTATTTTTTTCCAGTAGTTTCAGTTTCAGTTCTGATAAGAATGCACAGAAACAAACAAGCAAACTCAGTGTCTGGTTTTAACCCTTATAATACATTTCTTACTGTATTGTTTTTAAGCTAAAGCCTAAGTTTATTTTAAAATAAGCAAGCCAGGCAGTGTAATCTACTAAAAATACGATTAATGAAAACGTGTCAAATGGCTACCTTCTCAAAGACTGAAAAATAGTCAAATAAGGGGGAAAAAAATTCAGAGAAAATTCAGAGGATAGGCATAATTTCAGGAACATTTTGTAAGATGCTAGTACCTGCATTTGCTAAAACCTGTGTCACCTGCCTCCACTCCCCTTCCAGTTAAAGTTGTCCTGAAAGGGTGATGAAAGCAAAAGTAATTTGAGTATAAGCAATTCAGTAATAGTAAGGAGTGGTCAGGAATAGTAAGAGTTTGTTAGCAATTACTGTAAATTTTATAAGTAAAATTAAAAGAAGTGAGTAAAAAATCTGGGGACAGTTGTTTGGATGCAAACTGTGCACAACCGAAACGAGCGGAAGCTTATCACTGATGTAAATAGTAAAGGATATATGGTCTATACAGATGCTTTAATAAACTCATTTGGAACAGAAGTTATTGAAAAATGTCTAAGTTTGGGTAACAGTTAAGAAAAGTCGGTATCCTGTTGTTATTTCTGTGTGGTGTTTTGGGTGAAGTGGTGATAAAATAATTTCACTTCCAACAGAAACACTAGAATGTTCTAAATGTAAAAATGTTACTGACTATGTAGAACAGTGCCACTGGATTTTTTTTTTTAACTTTAAAACATGGGTATACAACAGTATTTTTCACACTTAAACATTGGGAAAGCTTGAAAGGACTGGATTTAATAAAGTGTGTTTGTGTGTGAAGATGTGTAGTTGCCGATGAAATTTGACAGTTGTCCAAGCATAATGTAGCAAGTGATTCAAATAGGAAGTTTATAGCACAATCTTCATGTCTTAGGTGGAGTTAATTGAAAAATACGTATTTTAGTGTAGCCTTAAATATCGTAAATCCTTATAATTCTTGCTTCTGTTATGGGCTATACGTACAGTTTGGATGGGTATCTCTTTAGTATGCTTCATTATCTCTGCTGACAAAGTAGGCAACTGTCATCCAGTAAGAAACAGCAGACAAAAGCACTCAACTCTGAACCCAGCAATAGGTACTTTATTATGTTGGCATTCTGAGCTCTGTGCTCTGCCTGAGAGTGGTTGTGTAAAGTGAAGAAAGTGCAGCAGAGAATGGGGGAGGTGTTTTCTTGCTGTTATGTAGTCAAGAGACCACTCAGTTGCAGAAAACATTAAAAGTAAAGTCTGCTTATGTGCTAGTAGCTCATTCTTCCATCAGTGAGATAGAGGAGAGCTATCACATCTACTTTTTTGCTTTAGGTGTCCTTACTTCCATGCTTACTCTTTGTAGCAACAATGACTAGTCTTTTGATGCTTAGGAAAAGATGATAATTGTTTTTTTCTTTTCTCTTTTCCTCTGCTACTCTCTGGTCCTTATATGGCAAAACTGAATCTTCTTGACCTCCCTTAAGTTCAAAAGTTCTGTGGAAGAGTCTATAGACCTTCTTGTGTTCTCCAAAGGTGGAGATTCCACAGCACCTTTAGGCAGACAGTCCATAACCACACTTGTTGTGTGGAAAAATGTCTTCCTTTTTCTTTCTTTAGGGAGAGCTGCTGAAGCTCTGCCTCTTTTGGCTTTTCCAGGTGAGCTGCGTGTTGCTCTCTGACAATTTTATATTTCTTCACTAGTGAATCTTTGGACAAAAGAACATTTAAGCAGTTGTGTATGGGTGCTCTGCGTGCTACTGGGAGCTGGTGCTGGAGTTTAGGCTCCTTTGATGATGTGGGCATTTGAGGTTGGTAGCATAAGGGTGCTGCAACCTCCCCTACTGATAAATTTTTGTGATTTTTCAGCAAAGTCAGATTATCTGGAATCTAAAGATGCCAGATGGAAATCAATGAATTCCATTCCTTGTCGTCAATTCTCATTTTGTTATATAGATACTGGTTTTGTTTTCATGCAAGATGAATGTGTGCTGTTGCCCATAGCTATCCTCAATGTGTGCCTTATATTTTGGAAATCAGAATATATTAAGCTTATACGTGTTTGTTTTTTTTTTTTTTTTTTTTTTTGTACTGATGGAGTAATATTCATTTACAGTTTCTTGTAAAAATTTTTTACTTACTGAGATTTCAGTTGGCTTAGTAAGTGATTTTTCTTTTAATGTCTGTGGTATATTTTGTATATTTACATAATATTTTTTCGTTATAAGTAAGTGTTACTGGAGTACAGGGTTAATTATGTCTGTAGTAAAAGCTTTTGCCATCTGTTTATGTGTAACTCTTCTACCGGTTTAAAGGCTTTATTAGATGAATGGTGTTTGAGTTAATTTTTTGACAGGAGATTTAAGGAGAAATACTCACCGTTAACACCATGTTAATATTTATCTGTCTTTAGTAAGATGACTCTGGCTTAGGGCAGTTTGCAAGTCTTAGAAAACTCCTTATAAATTTATTCCCTGAAGATATTTCAAGTAGAGAAATAGCAAAGTAGAGAAAGTAGCAAAACAAGTCTGTGGTTTTTATAGGTTGGTTTTTCTTTTTTCCCCAGTCTGTCTGTTAATGATAATTTTAAAATGGTCTATTGGAACCAATCGTAAAAGCAGCTCAAGTTGGCAGTTTATACTTTATTTTCCATACTCTTTTATTATTCGCGTGCTTCTTCTGCTAGAATAATTCTACAAACTAATTGTGAATAAAATGATGGAGCAGCACAAATACTGTACTTAGTTGTAGATGAATTACTAGAATGAATGCTGACTGTACAATTGCGTGTGCACTTTCCATTTTGTATACAGATTATAACTACAAATGTAATAAATGGGGAGGGGGATACCAGTTGGTTTGAAACAATTAGAAAAGATTTTTGCTTTAAGAAAAGAATAAAAAACACAGACACAATTCCAGATACCATTCCAGAGTCTCAGTATTACTCTAAGTAAGTACAAACTTGACGTTTAGCTCAGTTTGGGTCAAGGTACAGTTGAATGAAGAAATTAAGAACCTTTAGATACAGTAGAGTAGTTAAAAAGAGAAAATGCAAGATGAAAACAAAACTCGAAAAACTCTGCAGTGAGGCAGTATGGTGTGTTTTGTGTGGGCTTTTTTTTGTTGTTGTATTGGCTTTATTTATCTTTAATTATAGGATGCATTTGCACAATGCTAATTTAGTTTGTTTACCTAATCTAATAATCTCTTAGGTTATCTCATTATTTATGTCTATCATATTATGTCCTTAATGTTTGCATACAAGTAGGAGGAAAGCATAATTATTTTTAAGGTGTACTAAAGGTCTTAAGGCAAAAGACTTTAGTTTTCCTCTCAGGGAAGAACAGAATTCATGCTAAATGATTAGCTACACCAAATTCACTTTCAGATGAGGTAGCTCTGTACTATGCGATATTACTCTAATGCTATCATTAGTGTCACTGTCTTAATATGTTGGGTTAACTGTGTAGCAGCTTTTGCTGAATTTACAGTTAAGGCAAACTGTCTTCCACTGAAACAAACCAACTCCTCTCAGGATGCTAGTATTGGAAAAAAGCCCTAAAATTAGCGGGTTTCTTTCTGAATTGGTGTTTTCCCTCACCCCCCTACAACCAAATGTCGGACAATTAGGAACGTTCACTTCTTGAAATATTGTTAAAGTGCAGTATGGTAAGTAATTAAGCATTTCTTGATGACCCCAAGTAGATTAGTTAGAACAGGATTGGATATAGGAGTTGATACTCCTATGGAAAAATGAGTTGGTCTGACCTTTAAAGAAGGAAAAGAGGTTTTTACAGGGAGGATGTGGGTATATGTGTGTTGGGATTTCTTGCTATATAGGAGTCTAGTCAAATTTGAATGACTTTGTTTAAATAGAAAGCATACACAGAAGTCTTATATGATAGTAATGCTTGCAGGAATACTAATCTGTTCAGATGATATTTCCCTTTTGCAGGAATTTGCATAGGTTTTATGCAATGACTATGTTAATCCAAGAAATTTAAAGAAATAACCTGTTTTCAGTTTGTGTGTCGCCGTTTGTATAAATCATTAGTATCTGGATTTCATGGAGTATTATTCGTATAAATTTTCCACTGAATAAACTTAAAAATGTATTACAGCTTATCTAAACTTTGGATAATATAAAATGAAATGTAAACATGACTTTAGTAACTTACGCCTGTAACATTCCAAACAGTTAAAACAGTCTGTGGAAAAAAGTGTAGTAAAAGATTCTTTGTATTATAATTGAAATGTCCTTTGAGCTTCTAGAAAACATTAAAATTACAATTATAACTTTTTGTAGGTTGGGCTCATGTGGTTTGTGCTCTGTACATTCCCGAGGTGCAGTTTGCAAATGTTTCTACAATGGAACCTATCGTGTTGCAGTCTGTTCCTCATGATCGTTATAATAAGGTATAATTACATGTCTTTTTATCTATATCTAATGTGTTTATTTTAAAACTTGAGAGTTTTAATAATCTAAACCTACACTTCTTAGAATGCAGTTCATGTAAAATTCATAAATGTATGCAGTAATGTTGTATGTTTTCTGCTATGACTTTATGGTAAATTCAAGAATTAAGAAAGCTATTATTAAATTAAGCCGTAATGGTTATCTGCCATGTCTCATTGTTCTTTACAGATTAGGGACTGTTTTGTTAATTAAAAATATTCTGATATTTGAATAACAGTTTATTTTGCTACGAATGTAAAATATTTCCCATGGGTTAAAATATTATTACAGCTTATTTTAAATGTTGTTATTAATTACCAGTAAGTCATACTGTTTTAAGTATTGATGTGAACACAAGCATGTTCATAAACATTTCCTTTAGGAAGAAAAGCTATGCTAATATATTAAGGCAAAAGCTTGCAGACCTTTGCTTCTGTAAACAGTATTCACTTTAGTGGGATTATTTCCTTATAGAAGATCTCCTTCTAAATAAGTGTCAGTGAGATGGAATGTTCTGTAAAGCACAGTGAGATTTTATCTAAAAATAAAAAAGGGGAAAAAAGCACAAAGTAACATAACTTATTAATGTTCTATATCAATAACTATATTTTTCTGCTTGTTTCACTTGCACTACCTCTTTCTCACTAGACTTAAGTACATCCTACTTTGTGTTTTCCTTTCTGTAGGCAGCAAAAGAATTTCTGATTAGTTTGATTACATATTTTTCTTATGTTGTTCTTTTTACTTATAGTTTCTTTCTTTTACTTTATTTTGGTGGACACTGGGGTAAAAGATGAATAGACTGTGTTAGGAAAGAAAGAAAGAAAGGCGTGTATTACCTCTTGTGTTCTTCCTACAGGGAAACCCGTCCTGGTCATGTTGTCTCTATGACCTCACTCTTTTGCTGCCTGCCGCCCCCAGTTTATATCTCCGATTTACACTGCACCCCGTCACCTCCTTTAAAGAATCATTTAGGTTGGAAAAGACCTTTAAGATCATAGAGACCCACCATTAAGCTCACACAGCCAAGTCTGCCATGTCCTTAACATCTACACGTCTTTTAAATACCTCCAGGGATGGTGACTCCATCACTTCCCTGGGCACCCTGTTCCAATGCTTGACAACCCTTTTGATGAAGAAATTTCTCCTAATACCCAATCTAAACCGCACCTGGAACAACCTGAGGCCATTTCCTAGCCTTTTTTCTTTTTTTTTTCAAACTGGTCTTTTCCTTATCTGTTTCAGATTTTCACAGTTGCTGTCAGTATGTTTTGCCCATCTTATTTACTGGTGTTCCTGAAAAACCTGAAGTAAAAATCTAGGTTCTTGTCATACTTTCTCACTACATAGTACCTGAGCATCTGTGTAGGCTTCTCACTATTGGCTTCCTTCTGCATTTGCAGGAACATGCAACAGTAGGATTAAGTGCAGAACTAATGAAATTTTTGTGCTTGGACACAAGCAGTACAGATTTCTCGTAGCAGATGAGTTTATTTTCCTCCCTCTTCAACCCTGGGCCAATAGCACATCTGTTTTCTCAGTTTTCCTCGAGCAGTAGTAATAACTTCTTTTTTTATTGTTAGTGATTCTTCCCTAATGTACTTCAAAGATTTTGTGGAACACTTTAGATTTTGTTTTATCTTGCACTATTTCCATTGATTGCATGAGTAAATCCTTGTAACTTCAAAAAAATGTACCCTATGTATTTTAATATTGTTCACAAAGTCCATTGTTGGTCTCTGTCTTTAGTCTTTAATTCCTTTTTGTTAGAACTTTTTTTGCTTCCTTTTTGGTCTTTTCTTGTTCCAAATATATGATGTATAATTAATTTTTACTGCTAAAATTCCAATCTGCATTTTTTTGGTCTGCTGTTGCCATGAGTTTTTTTGCTTGCTATATAATTAGTAATGCCATACAGATGATGTAGATAAGAGTTCCTGATGTTGTCCAGCTCTTAGTTCTCTGCATTTTTGGTGGGTGTTCTGATTTGGGCCTATTTCCCATGTTCCTTAACAGTCAGCCTAAAACTACTTAGGCCAGTGCTTGACAATAACTGTTTGCCATATCTACTTCTTAAAATAACAGCTTTTATTTCCCATTTCCTCCAAAATTGATAAAGGCAAAGTTAAGTGCTTTACAAAGATACTTTATTTTTTTTAGTTCAGCATCATTTAAATAAATATAATTTATACTGAATAGCAAGGAGGGTCGGGGATGAACACATTGCAGGCTACTGCAATGAGAAGGGAATCAGTAGTTGTCTTGGTTTTGGGGGTATTGCTCAAAACTAACCCACTCAGGAACTGATGGCAATTTAACCACAGCAGTACCAAACTTAATCTACAGTATACATTTATATACATTTTTATGTATTATTTTATATTTATAGTGGCCTATACAGGGCACTACAGTATCCTATAAAATATAATGAGACCTATATCAGAAATGTCAAGGTTTGGGATCACACTCAAAAGCCTGCAAATTAGTGTTTCCCCCCCCCCCTTTTTAAAAAACTCATCTTTTGCTGTTTTTATTTGGTGTAGGGAGGTAGAAGTTGTAGATTTTGGGGGAATCAAAGAAATGCGCTTTTGCTGCAGCAAACCTCCTGAAACCAATCTAACTGCACTTCCAACAGCAGTCTTAACTGTAACAACACAGAATTTAAGCAGCAGTTGCTGACTGGGGACTCTCCCAACTTGTTTGATAAGGCCGTAGCCAGTCCCAAGTTTGGTTCTGCTGTGGCTAAACTGCCACTAGTTCCCAAGTAGGCTAGTTTTGAACAATGCCCCAAACCCAAGACAACTACTGATTCCCTTTTCAGGTAGCCTGCAATAATTTCATCTCCCACCATCCTTGCTATACAGTATAAATTGTATTTATTTAAATGATTGATCAATTCAGTTACTATTTTTAAGTTAAGGAAATATGTAAAGCATTTAACTTTGCCTTTATCAATTTTGGAGGAAATGGGAATTAAAAGCTGTTTTTTTGAGAGGTAGATATGGCAAACAGTTCTTAAAACATTTGTTGCACATTGATGAACAAATGTGAACGTGTAATAAGGAAAAAATGACTAGAGTTGCTTCTCTTTTTAGAGAGGCTTAATACTAATTTCATTCTATCTGTCAGCTCAGGTTGGAATAGGATGATTTTAAGAAAGATTTTATTTCTTGTGAAGTCCTGAATAATCCCCTCTATGTGGCTGGATACATATAGAATGCTAGCATATGGAATTGGTGGAAAATATAGGCTGATGAAAATTACTATAAGGGAGAACATACACTGTAGCCTTTAAAATAAGGACAAACATCACTGGAGTTTTGCCAGGAGATAGTACACAAGTTACACAATTTTTTCTATGCGCTTGTTTCTTTATTGAACACTGTGAAATACACAACATTACAAAGTACAGTAATCTTAAATGCAAGAATAAACATGGCAGACACCAAAGCATGAGGCTTGTCAATGTCAAGGAATTTGTCTGTTATTTCCCTAAAGTTTACCTGCTTCTGGGGCAAAACCCATCACATTACTGAATGAATCCACTGAATGACTTGCTTAGTGGGTTAACTAACAGGAAAGCTCTTCTTACATAGTCACTTCCAAAAGCAAATGGACTAGTGGTTGCTCTCTTATTCAGTAAATGTTTGTTATTCCTTGGGTGGTTATGCATGGATTATATCAATTTATTTTATGTGAGCTTTATTTGTCTTTTTCAGGTTTGTTGGAAAGTATGTGGTAATTGAATATGATTACTGCTTTTAGGAACCTCTTTTAAGAACCGATTAAAAAATAAGTGCATTTGGAGTTTGCCTAGTATTTGGAGTATGCCTAGTATTAAAGGCAGCTGTTACACATATTTCAGTACTCCTAGATTTGATTCTGTAAGCAGAGAATGCTGTTGGGTAGCTGTTATGAGTAAACTATTTCTCAGATTACTTTTTGTTTTGTAAGGTATTTCTTGCCTTATATTCCCTTCTGTCTTTGCTTTTGCAAAGAAGGTTTACATTTTGAATCTTTGAAGGAAAAATATTGACAGGAGCATAAAGGCAGTATTGCAAAATACGTATTTTGACATTAAAGAAACTAAGATATTTGTTGCCTTTTTTGGGTAAAATTTCCTTGCTGAGTCAAAACCTTTGTGTAATGATTTATGTATTTTCCAGTCAGTTTGGGAGAAGTCTTAAGTACTTTCTTTCCATAAGAGCTCTGAAGAGCAGCTCTGCTTTAGGTGGTGGAACACACAGTTTTACACTTCCACATTCCAGAAGTTTCAGAGGGGTGTAGCAATTGCATGGATTTGCAAATGCATGAAAGTGTTCATTTTCCTGCTTTGTGAAAGAAAGATAAAAGGTTCTCAGGCTTCTGTAACTGTTTGTGTGTCTAAGAGAAGGTGGAAGTATGAGAAGCTTAGCTTTAGAGAGAACTTACCATCCATGTTGGAACAGGAAGATGAACTTTCTTTGGCCCTGTTTCACATGGAGGATTAGGAAACAGGTTTTATACTTCTCATGACTATTGCAGGAAAAACAGAAGTTCACTGAGCTTCTTAAAATGGGTCGACAGTCCACCATGTTGTGCTTAAGCTTGTTCATAATGTAGCTAGTAGTTTGTTAGCATTTCCAATCATTTTACTGTAAATTTGTTTAAGATGTCCTGAAACACATGTAGTATGTAGTTTTGAAGACCAGGAACTACGTGGTTACTAACTGGAGTGCTTTTCTTTCTGAGCTTCTGTGGGGGAAAAAATTACAGATCTTAAGGCGAAACTCTGAAAAAACAGGACAGTAACCGGAGCTTGAGTTTCATGGGGTCTGTTGAACTCTGTTTATAGAGCTACTTACTTTTGAAGTTACTTACACTTAATATAGTTATTCAGATGAGGCTGATACATCATGACCTTGTTTGTTCCTAAAATCTGAATGTGTCAGGTCATGTTATGGAAAGCTAAAAAGCAGCCAGTCTCAGACCCTGTCAAACAACTGAATTATCTGTATGCACTACCTTGATGTACAAAGGGAGCAAGGCAAAGAATTAAATAGGATTATCCCCTTTCTGATCCTTCACATGTTAGGGTATGATTTTAGGATATATTAGCTATTGGGTTGAGTGCTTTTTAAAAGTTTTATGGAAACTGTACAAGAATGACTCACCTACCCCAGAGCCCAGCATGTTAACAAAAATGCTTTAGTTAGCTGGCATGTCATTTTAAATGTTGTTCTAAATACCTCTGTAAAAGGTTGTTCTGATCTCAGAATTTCACTCGTTTTCATGGCTTTCTGAGTAATACTGGTTTTGTGTTATATCCTTTTGATATTTTTATTTCAGTGGTACCTTGGTCCATTTTTCTTAAACTGTATTTTCTACCTCCTGTGATTGATGCTTTTTTTTATTTATTCTACTCATTCTTTGCCTCACAGAAGAGAGGTTGTGTTACAATTGCTAGAAGTCAGTTAAAGTTTAAATGTAGACAGTTTTGGGGAGGAGGGAAGGAAGTTTCTCTTTTCTCATCTGAGATCTTGGAATGGGATTTCTGCAGAGGTAGCAGTGTGTTGTTGATATTTGTTACCTCAGCAAGGTTCTCTCTCATTTATAAACAGACGCTTGACTATCCCAATGCTGGAGAAAACTTTCATTAAGAATCTACTCTTAAACTGTAAAATTTTACACATAAATGTGATATGATAAAATCTTTCTAAATGGCATTTTGGTAATTAGGGCAGTAAAAAGTGGAAGGAGATGTATCTCCCTGAAATGCTGGTGAGAGATGGTGGGGATGTCTAGTATAATAGTGAGTTTCCATACAGCACGTACCCACGTTTATTGGCCTCATGATTAAAAAAACCAAAAGTATTGAAAAATGAGAAAGATTTTGGATTCTTTTTGTCCTTTTTTTTTTTTTTTTACACTTCCAGTTTACTGACAACATTTTTGAAAGTATTACAAATTGCCACAGTATCCCAGTAAAACAAATTAGAAAATTGACAGAAATGCTATGATGAGATTTTCAGGTACTAGACAGGTTGTTTTCATTTTAGCTTGTTTTTGAGGTTGAAGTGCACTTGATACACTAATTTAAGCTTTGTTTACAGAAGGTTCTTGCTTGATTAGTTTCTAAAATATTTATGTGGCTGTCCAAGTCATGCTGAAATTAAAGCAGAGTTCTGTTAAACAATGTATTTAATTAAAAGTAGCTGAGCATCATATGACTGTGATGCTAGCACGCTTTGAGACTTCTGAAAAATCTTTACACCAAATATATGAATAGAATTTTGTTCGCAGTTTTCCTGCGTGCAGTTTTGTAGATGTATGCAATTTTGTAGATGTATGCATGTATTCCATATGGTATCTTGTACCATCAGGTGCTAAGTCTAATTTGATGTTTCTGAATGCCATCAATACAGGTAATGTTAAATGAATGTGAAAGTTATTGTAACCTAAGAGGACATAAACACACACTTGAAAGCAAGGAAAATTTGGAAGCCTAATGCTAGTAACTGTTGGCTGTTTAACTGTTTGGCTAGTCTAACAGTGGTATAGAATTTATGTAAATTAGTATTTATACTGCATTAGAGTTGGTGAAGTGTTACATGAATCCCAAGTGTCTACCGGGTGATCTCCTTTTGCAAACATACATAGTTAGACTTTTAAAATAAGTTCTTATATAAGCTTAGCTGCAAAATCCAGTAGTTCTCACCCAAGAATCTGTAAGTAACACAATTTATTTGTATGCTTCTTATCATGTGAAGTATTTTCTCTTTGATAGACATGCTATATTTGTGATGAACAAGGCAGAGAAAGTAAAGCAGCCACTGGTGCTTGTATGACATGTAATAAACATGGATGTCGACAAGCTTTTCATGTAACATGGTAAGTATATTTTATTATTTAACATCTCTGATGTTCCAGAAAGAATCAATGCACACAATGTAATGAATAAACTCTTTATTTAGGTTATTTCTGAGTAAAGAAATGTATAAAGTGGTCTGTGTAGAAATGCTTAACTTTGTTACAACACAGAATTTTTACTAGCAATATAGTAGTGGCAGCATAGACAATTCCTGTGAGATGCAAAAGCTTTCTAATAATACTCCCTTGGGTTGTATTCAGTGCCATGTCCTCCTGTGAATAAGGTCTAGTGGTTTGTTTTTTAACTTATTTTTCTTAGATGATATTTTATAGGATGTGGGAATGTTTGAGACTGTACACCTGCTGGTTTGATGCTTACTTTTGGTAAATCAGTGGGGAAAAATTACTGAGTTATACATAAAAATGCGCTAGACTCACCCCTTCTTATACAGATTTCCAAACACCTGGGGGCAGTTCACCTTACTGGTTTTATCTAAATGGTACACATCTATCGTGAACTATTGATTTGGGTTTCACGTGTAGCTGTTGAAGAAAAACAGTTGTGTCCACCATCTGATTGATTCTACTTTAAGATATTTAGGTTTGCTTGCATTCAGGAGATGCTTATCTCACTTTGTAGATTTCTGAAAGAGGCTGGATAATTAGATTAAGCCACATGTCAACAGGTAAAAGGAAGCAAAAGGAGTTTCACACAAAAATTTACAGGCCTTACTTGTTTTTTCAAATTCAGCTGAAGCTACTTTGCAACAGATAGATAGATAGCAGATTTACAGAGACTGTCTAGCTACATAATCTGTGGATTTACCCATCTCTTTTATGAGTGTTCCAGTATGTTTCTTCATGACCAGCTCAGTCAGGGAAATGGTATTTGCACACCTACTTAAATTACTTAAATATATTTTCTTCAGTGTCATCAAGTGATACTTGGAAAGACTTGTATAGATCTTAAAGGATACCATTCTCTAGTTTAGGCACTGATTTCTTGGCAACTCTTCTTTCAATTACTTGACTATCTGGCAGGTTTTACTCTTTTATGAGCATCTAATTTTTCATTGGATGTGATCAATGTCAAGATTCTTTTTATGGTGCAAATGGATTTTGTTCCTCAAAGCATGCGTACTATGTAAAGAGGTTACTTAGATGTGAAAAAAATGTATGCATCCAAGTTTTTGGATGACAGTCTCTTTTCTTTCAAACACTTGAATGCATACAGGAGTCCTTTTCAATTTTTTTTTTCTTTCAAAACCCTGTTTTTAGTGAATGCCATAGAGTCCATGAGAACTAGGTTAAAAATGAAACTATCTTGCCAAATTTTAGTATTTTTTGATTCTAATAAAAATGAGGTTTGTACTATAAAATTGTATCTGGACAGAGAGTCCTGTGACTGAGGATACTGAGAAGCTTTTGTAATATTTAAAAAATGGAAGAAAAATGTGAGAACTACAGAAGGCAGAGATCCAGGGTCAGGTGTATCAATTTTGGGTTAACAAAACTAATGTCTAAGGAAGAATGAGCTTGAGTTCATCCGTTCCTGCATGGTGATAAGTCGTCACTTAAAGAGACCCTCTTAAATGTTTTCTAGAGTTGGCACCTGCTGTAGGTGTATGTGTATTTAGGGAGCAATATTTCTGGATTGCCCAGGAACATGAAGTATGAATAAGGGGAAAGTGATTTTAAAAAGCAATGAAAATAAGCTGCCTTATATATTGTTCTTTCATTTAAATACTCTCACACATAATTTTTACTGTAACATTGCATTATCATGCTAATGAAAATGATATGAAAAATGAAAGTGAATATTAGATTTTTCAATGTCTAAGTTGATTTTGAAAAGAAAAGAAATCAACATTGCAAATGTCGAAAAACAAATCTGGTTTGAAAAAATGTAGTAGAATAAGGTAATAACTAGCCCAGGCAAGGAAACTTGTAAGTCTCCTCCTTTTCAAAAGAAATTAACCTGCCACAGTCTTTTAAACCAACAAATATTGTTTGATTTATTATGTCATTGAAGTCCTATTAAAGAAAAAAAGTTATTTTCCTGGCAAAGCAGAGAAGGATGTATGTATCTTCAGAAAAAATGTCTTTGGCTCTATTGGATCTACAGTATATTTTGTTAAAAACTGTTCTTTCCATAGATAATTTTTTGCTTCAGTTTGAGCTAAGAATCATTGTAAATTGCTTGGTTTATTCATTTGTGGGAGTAGCTGCATAATAAATGTAGATTTTCAAGCTGTAAGCTTGTGTAAGTCGCTGAAAGACTTTCATAAAGGCATTAGGCCAAAGCATAAGCTATACATGTTTTTCAGTGGGCTGCAAAGGTTGGTTATGTGCTTGCATGTCACTTGTGTGGAAATCTCTTCTGTTGAATGCAGATATAAGTATCCATACATTATCTGCTATGATACTGTGGTGCCAGCTGATGTAAAATTGCTTTCCTTGAATGTTGTTTGGTTTATTTTTAGTGCACAGTTTGCAGGACTTCTTTGTGAAGAAGAAGGCAATGGTGCAGATAACGTCCAATACTGTGGCTACTGTAAATACCATTTTAGTAAACTGGTACGTATTTGTTAAATTCTATAAAAAAAAGGTCACTGACTTTTCCTCTCTGAATTGCTATTAATACTAGAAATAATATTTTCATGTAGCTCAGAAAGTAGATTGTGTCTCATTAAAACAGTGTTTTTAATCACAGTTACAGAAGCACTAGCTGAAAATGTTTCTCTAAGTGGTTTCTTTCTAGATGTGTGGGTCATTCCCCTCTGCCAGAAATAGCATGCACATTTAGTGTTTTTTTTTTTTTCCTTGGGTTCCTATAATGTTTCTTTTGCTATTTAATTAGTTTGCTTCTAGGAATTTAGTTAATTTTGGAATAATCTAGAATATATTACTTGCTATCCTGTGCATTAGAGAATAAAGAAGCCCTCCGTTTCTTTTTGCTACTGAAAGAAAAAAGTGTTTTTCCTTTTGTTGTATTGCTCACCGTGTAGCCAGTTCAGTATTCCTTGGCTTTAAGTTCTCTGAAACAATGAAAGAAAACCTCAAGGAAGTCACTTGAGGTTTGATTTTTATTTTTAAAAAACCCCAACAAATAAGCAAACAAAAAACTTTGAAATTTCTGTTATTTCAGTAGGTTTTGGATCAACCTCTGAAGTCTTTCCTATTGCTTCTTACTAGTTTGATAATTCCAGAAATCTGTTTCTGTGTATGTGTGTGTGTGCGGCCTTGAAGAACTTACTGATATTTTAAAAATGTTACTTATGAATATTGAATTATGAAGATTTAAATATATCAACTTAAGTACAGGTGCTTCTGTAAGTGTAGTTAAACTTGCTGATTACTTGTTTTCAGTGCTAAAAAAGGTGAATACTTGGGTGACTTTTGGGTAGGTTGCATTGAGGTAAAAACACAGGGCCAATGCACCATTTTAGCTTTCTAGAAGATAAGCTTGTGCTTTTGTGAATATTGATGAATTTGCTTCGTAATAAAAGTAAGTCAGGGCTTTCTAGGGCCCTTACTAAGCTAAGATTTTTAATTATCCTGAGCTAATACACATGTATGTGTATTTAAAAAGCAAGTTTAACAGTGAAGACATAACTCTGTATTTGACGTGTAATTAGTTAGCTTCCTGTTATGAAGCTGTAGCACTAAGAACAGTGAAGACTGACAAGATGGTTTAAAGTGTTTCAGTGTTTCTTTTAGGATTACTGTGACTGTTGATGCCTGGTAAATACAGGTGTTTATTATATACCACAGAAGATGGTGGGTAGCGTATATTTACTATACCACTGAAAACATTGGTTGGCAAAGCACTGACCTGAAGTGTCTTTATAACGCTACCTCAGTTATGATAAAATAACACTTTGAACACTGGCGTAGCATAAAGTTTTTGCAGTCCCAGACTAGGCTCTTAAACATGACAGAAATACAGGCAATTATGTCTGCCACCTTTAAATGCATACGTGACTGTAACATTCTGTATCCTATTTTTAAATCATTTTATTGAAAATACTTCAGTCAGATCACTTGAATAATAAATCATGAAGCCATAGAACAGCCACCTTACAATGCATTTCTGGTGTGCAGCAGTGTGGCTTCATGTGATACTCATCTGAGCAGCATCTTTTCTGTTACGCACATTTGAAAATGCGTCTAGCATCTTTTAATCTTTAAAAAGTGGTGTATCTCTTTTCTTTGTGGAAAACATATCTTACCAGTTTGCGGGAGGCATAGAAGTTGATACAAGGATAGGCTTTTTTCCTGGTATACTTTGGATAGTCTTGTTAATTGTATTAGTGTTCTGAATTTGTCAGTTTTTCAGTAACTGAGTTGTTTTTTTTTTTTGTTTTTTTTTTTTCTTCAAGCAGTAAGGCATCTTATCAGTTGAAATACTTTATAATTTTTATTTATTCAAATGGTTCCTTTTCTCTATCCATAAATATATTTTCTCTTTTTAGAAAAAGAGCAAACGGGGATCTAATAGGTCATATGATCAAAGTTTAAGTGATTCTTCCTCTCACTCTCAGGATAAACATCATGAGAAGGAGAAAAAAGTAAGTGGATTTGTCGTTGCTAATTATGTGGCACATCTGCTTAATAGTAGCATTTTCTGATAAACTTAATTTTTGCTGAAAAGCTTGAAGGAAATCTTGTTTCTGAAGCACTGAATAATAAATGACACAGGTGATAAACTAGAGGTACTAGTGTCCAATGAGGAAACATCTTCAGGTGCATTTGTACATCCACCTTCCTATTCCTGTTTATCATCCGCTTTGGGATACACACTGAAACATATCCATTGGAAAGGCTGTTTCTCTGCAGCTTCTTTTGCTTTACCTTTCCATTAGAGATTTTTTGTGTAGTGTTTGTGATTAGGCAGGAAAGAAAACCAGGGGTAGACATTTTAGCAAGTGTGCTGCTAAACAGGTGTGTCTGATTTTGTATGTTTGAAGCTGTTATTTCTTTTTCTCTTCATCAAAGAATTGACATCTCTTGTTGACATATTGTACTGGTACTAGTGATCAAGCGCACTGTGATGGCAAATACACTGTCATTCACCTGGGGATCTTCCTGTGAGGGTACAAAGAACATAATGTTGGTTTCTATCAATGGTGTATTCTTTTAATAATTTAACTCACATATTTAAAAAATAAATTTATAATGCTTATTTCTTCATGTGTTTATTACTGCTGTTTTAATAGTTGTCTTCTGGAAATTTGTCATATAAATGCCAGTGATAACAGACAGTGCCACAATAATGCAAATTTGCTTTGGCTTTCTTTTAGCCGTCCAAGAATATATGCAAAACTGCTCACCAGCATATATCCCATACAACTGACTTAATAGACTTTTCTGCGGGTATGGGTAGACTTAGTTTTGCATTATTCAAAATCATTACGTAAAAATTGAAGTCAAAGAATGTACTGACCAAATGTGTATTGTATGAAGGAGCTGTATTTATAGTGACAGGAAAGTGTATAACAAATGTCAGTCTTCAGACCCTTAGTCTCATTAACATTTGATTTGCTTTTTAAGCTTACTTCCACTTTGGATGGATGTTGTATCTCCACTGTTCTTGAATAATATACATCTGGTTAATGGTGTAGGTGAATAGTTCCATCTTCATTTGGTACTGCAGAAAAGATTGCATTGTCATGTGGTTGTATCTCTAAACCTAAATTTATTACTAAGATAAGTATGGGGGTTTGGCAGATTTTTTTTTCTTAGTAGCACATTGGTAGGAAAAAACCAGTCTTGAATTACAGACTACAGAATTACCTGCAAGGTAAAAATCCTCACCTAGATGTGCCGTATTTTGACTTAGTGTGCTTAGTTTTTCACCAGTGTCGTATTTCAGGTCATGTTTTGTCCAAATACATGCATGGATTTTTATTCGCATTGACAGAACTTTGAAGTTGAATTAGTAGAAACTTTGAGGTGCGAGCATGAGGCTCAATTTCAGTTTTGTGTGCCTGTGTAGTCCAAAAAACCTGTTGCTGTTGGGTTTTGTTGCGTGGTGTGGCTTTTGTCGTGTTTGGTTGTTATTTTTTAAAGTGACTTTGGAGATACTATGCTTCTTCAGGTCATAATAGCTGGAAATCTTCAGGGCATACTTGGTGGGACTTTCTAACAGTGTGTTCAGCCAGTGTATAAGATGTTTTTTTTGTGCTTGCTGCTCAGCTTCTGCTCTGGAAGTGTTTTGATGTGGGTCTTCTAGAAACAGTTGATGTTGTGACTTGCTTTTGCAAGTCCTAGCCTTTTTCTGTGACATGAAGTCTGCTAGAAATTGGATATGAAAGTTTCTTCTACCTTTCATGAACTGAAACATGGTAATCTGGAAGATCTGTGATCTGATTTGAGTCTTGGGTGACATGGTCTAGTGCGAGGTGTCTCTGCCCATGGCAGGGGGGTTGGAACTAGACGATCTTAAGGTCCTTTCCAGCCCTAACTATTCTGTCATTCTATCTGTAGTACTAGGTGAAGCAATGCAGTTTGAAACGCTAACTTATTACTTGACATTCAGATATTCCCATGGTACATTACAGCATGTTCACTTACCAAGTTTAATTTGCTTTGTGTGTTGTGTAATAGCAAAACACTATTCTAGCTAAAACCAGCAAATGGTGAAAAAAGTTGCAGTTTCCTAAAGCTGTTGTTCACATAACTTTTTGTGGCTATAGACTTTTTGTTTGGCATTTTTAACCTTATATATTCTGTAGTTAAAGAATGGTCTGGGCTTTGCAAAATACTACTCCTCAGTCAATGAATTGTATGTGGTGCGGAGGCATATTCTGTTGATAAATTTGATTACCTTCTGCATATGCTGCCTTATTTGATACAGTGTATCAAATATACACTGTATCTTGGGGGACTAAGGTCTTTTTTTAGGATGACTTACTATATTTTCCTTTTATGTAAATGTGTTTGGAATCTAGATTGTTGTCATATTACAGTAAAAATGTGTATCTTTCTTCCCAGATACAGTGATATCTTGTGTGTTGTGTCCTTGTGTCTGTCCATCCCCGTCCGTGTTGTGTGTCTCCTCCTTTTTGCCCCAAGAGCACTATATTTTCTACTTTTATCTTTCATCTTTGTTCTTTGGAATTTTGGATAATCTGAACTTCAGGCATTCTTAAATCTTTACCTTTTGCCAAGTGGAAGCCTTATGAGTTGAAGATTGGAAGCTTTTTTATTGCTTAGACCTCAGAAGCTATCCATATGCTTATAAAACCTTACTCTTCATTAAGAAGAGGTTGACCTGAAAATGTTGATATGGATAGCTGTCATTTCTGTAAATAGATGCTGAGTTGAAAGCATGTGTTTTCCTTCATAAGATGTATTTAGTCTCTTCTAGGCACTGTGCTCACAAAATTAATAGCAAAATACAGGGGTAGAATAATACGGAAAATCCCAAACCTTTCGTATGACTTAATGAGGAATTCGAAGCTGCAGAATAAATAGCTTAGTTATATTCTGATTACTGTTGCACTAAGTATTGTTAGTTTCTAAGGCAGAGCTGTTATTTAGAAATTAATTAAAGGTGAGTGTGCCTCATGGGTAGGGTTAGTAGTATGTTGCTTGTCATCCCATTATAATACCCTTTTCTCAGGGCCCAGGTGTTTACCTTAAGCTTTTTGGGAAGAAACTTAGACCATCACGAGCTGTGGAAGAATAGCTCGCTTTGCTCATATTTCTGGCAACCTTATCTTTGGAAGGGACTACATAGTAGCTGGAATTTACTACATAGTAAGTAACTACTATGTAGCAGCTGAATTACACAAATTCCTTTTCTACTAAATGTGCTTTGGTCTGGGCTGAGCAGGAAGTGGAAATTTAAAACTCCCTGCTGTGATGGCTCATATGATGTAAATAAAACAAAAAGGGGCTTGTGACTGAAGACTTCAAATATGTAAGAAATGGTGACTGAAGAGGGGAAAAAAGAACAAAATAGTGACAAGGAGCCCCAGGGCTCTATTGCAGAAGTTGGAGGGTGTCAGAAGAGAACCTCATATGCAGGAGCCAGGACAAGTGTTCTAAACACTGAGTTACTGGCTGAAAGGCATGCGTTATGGGCATCTGCTTGCTGCTTGTTCTGTTCTTAAGGAAGCGTTATACCCACCCTGATTCTGAGGGGAGAAACTTGAACATTTAAGAAGAGTTTGAGGCACTGCATGACATACAGTGTGTCTCACTGTAACCGTGAGTTTGTTAGGTCCGTGAGAAGGTAAAACTTGTGAACTGCATTCTGAACTGCACAAACTTTCCCAGTATGTTGTGAAGGACCCTACATTTGTATGTCAGGGCTATGAATTTCATTTGGGAGAAAGGCACTAGATGCTTTTTAATGTATTTTGATGCTCTGTGTGGGCTGTTACAAATCACTAACCACTCAGATCAAGTGTTCATTATGATGCTTCGCTGTATGAATAACTGACTGTGAAAAGTTAAAATTGACCTGCTGTGCATCACATAAGATTCCGTCGCAAAAACAGGGACAGACTGCAGTTCTTGAGCTACCATTCAGCTGCATAAGGAATAGTTTTCTTTTTTTCTCTTTGGGGGAAAAGAAAAAATTTTAAATTTTCTGATTTAGTCCTGAGGAATCAATTTATAGCACCATATAAAGCAAAGTGTTGCAAAGGCAATTCTAATTATGTCATTCCTCTGTTAATTGCCTCATTTCATAAGCTTAGTGCTGTTATTTGAACATTGTGGGTTTTGTGTAGGTTTTTTTTGGGGGGGAGAGGGGGAGGAGTGCCAGACTGATCTCAATAATGTAGTATCCTACTGCATTTTTATAAGTCTTCAAAGTTTTTGTTAATCAGTTTAGTAGATGTGACTGTTTAATCCTCTCAGCTGTTCTTGTAGTATAAAGCAAAATTCTAAGAATGCTGAAGATAACTAGAAGAAAAATGTTTTGCAAACACTTTGAAATTACTTCAATTTTAATTACTGAGGTAATGCTAGATCAGTATTATTCAAATGAGAATGGTGTGGTGTGGATACTAATGGTGATGCTTATCCATGTTGACTTCTTCCAAATTCTGTTCAGTCAAAGGGAAAGAAGAATGCTTGTAAAACACATTTAAAAATGGATCAGTAAGTGTATACCGTATGTAGCTCAGTGTATACGTAAATGGTCTTTAATATCTATTGATGAGCTTCAGAACCTGGTTCTGTTTTCTAAGGCTGACTTTTTGTGTGGATTTTGTGTATTGAAAGTCTGATTACTTGGGAGTACTGACAGAGTGTGTCTGTGTAAGCAAAATGTCATTAGTAAGCTACTGAGTATATTCAGTAATATGTATCTTTGAAGTCTCCATGATTAAGAGAGGAGAAGGCATCTTGTTTGATTTGTTGACTTCTAAAGTTCTGTGTTAACTTGTGCATTCTGTGTCAAGCTGACACAGAATACAGCACACGTTTTATTTTGAAATTTTATTTTAGTAAGAGGAAAAATAGGAACTTCTGTTTAGATTATCATGCTTGTCATGGAATTACTGGTTTGACTACCTTAACAGTAACATGTCATTGTATTATTATCTCATTGTAA